AATTACACACATGCATGCACATAGCCTACATGGTTTTTACCTGGCGTCCCTGAACCTGCATTCCCTCAACCCCTGTATTCCTTACCTAGAACTCACATCCGCTTCCCATTTGACAACATGCACATCTGGAGCAGGGGTGGGCTTCAAAAAATTTAGCAACTGGTTCTCTGCTGGGTGGGTGTGGCCAAGGTAGGTGTGGCCTAGTCAGTCTCCTGCACCACAACGGGGGAGGATTATTTTTGTCCTCCCCGGGATCTGGAGGTTTCCCTTGAGCCTCCAGGAGGGCGAAAACAGCCTCCCGGGGCTCTGGAGGCTCTCTGGAAGCTGGAAACAGACTCATTTCTGGACTTCCCAAATTTCCAGGAGGCCGTGTTTTGCCCTCCCCAAGCTTCCGCACGCACCCTGCACTTACCTGCATCCAAAACGAGCCGCGTGGGGACTCCTGGGAGAGGCGGGGTGGGCAGGGCCAGCCAAGAGTGGGATTTGGGGGCTTCTCTGAACTACACAGAATTTTAGCTAGGGGCTCTCCCGAACCCCTGCGAACCCCCAGCAGCCCACCCCTGATCTGGAGTTACAACAACAACAGGGCTACCAGATTGCCATCACTAAGTGATGTAGTCTTAGGACTCATGCTTTACACAAATTCCGGCTCCAACTGTGGCCATAAGTCAAGGACTACCTTTAGAGTTGGCTATTGGAGAAGGACTGTGGAAGGGTGATATCCGTGCTCCAAATGTCTGTTGAAGAAAACCCCCACTTCTGATAGTGGGACTTGCACTGGGAGGAAATCTCTCACTTGCAGGTTCAGAAAACCGAGTAGATAATTTATTCTGCATTATAAGTAGTGTCCAAATTATCTTTTTTTTTTTCTGATGCTATTTGCATTTTTAAAAAGACGTTAACAGCAAAACAGCTTTTAATGCAGACCTGGTTTTTTTACAGTTGCTTGCCACAATTGGCCCTTTGGTAGTCCCTGTCTGGCCATTGTTTTATTTTGAAAACAACTATTTTTTTTTCTCTTCAATTTACACATGGTTCGGCCCTCCACGATTGTCTCAGTTTCTCATATGTCCCCTTGGGAAAATTAATTGCACACCTCTGTTTTAATGTAATCTCAAGCAGAGTCTACAGACAGCTCTTCTGTAAAGCTCATTACTAATTGCTTCATAATTTACTGAGAACCACTTTTTATGATAGGATGGTCTTGAAATGCAGTTTAAAAACCAACAGTGGATTTCTATGCGTGTCTCCTTTTTAATTCAAATGGCTTGTTCCTCAGTAAAAATTGTGTGTGGGACGGGGAATGAAATGTGACAAAGGAGCTATAGTTATTATCTCAAGGTAACTGATAATAGAGATTTGATTATATTGGAAAAATATTCCAGTACTATGCTGAACACAACTGTGCTCAAGGAAAAGCCCTGTTCCTTATATCAACTTTTCTAAAATATCTGAAATATCTTAGCAATGAATTCCCAAGTACTTTTTTTTCTATCAATAAAAGTTTGAAAGGCCCATATTTTAATTTGTTTAAGTAGCACAATCCAAGTAAAGAAAATGGCTATTTTAAGACAGATGATGGAGAAAAAAAGTAAATATGTGTGTGTGTGTGTGTGTGTGTATGTATGTATATATATGCTGTCCCTTTTAAAAGGGGTGGATATGGGTTCTGAAGCACAAACTGGTTAAAGCACATGCTGACAAAGTCAGTACCTGCCAAAAATCCTGAGAAGAGGGGTAAAGGTTAGGAAGAAAAGGAAGAAAATGAGCAAAGGTTTGTTACAACAATAGGAAAAATAAACCAACCAAAAAATATCATGTACATCATAACGGCAGGAACGGCAGAATAAAAAGAATAGTAAGTTAACATTTCAGGAAGAAAGGATTGCTGAACTCCTCAGAAGCAACAAATAAAGGGGAGGAAATCAATAGCATTTATCAGTTGCCTGCTACAATATCAAGAACAGAAGGAATCTATATAACAGTCTAGTTCAGTACTTTCAAATTTATGCCAACAAAATAAGAAGCCTTCAAGTTTCAACAGAAACCAACAATTCATAGAGTTCATTCTTGAGCAAAGATTCATATAATCTTCTATCATCTATCTGGTTGTCCTCTTCCAGTGACCATGCAGCTGTGAGACAACACTTCTGAAGCAATGAGGTAGAGAGGGAACAACCATCTAGCCAACCAGATCAGCTGGGTCAACCCTGTCGAAATGAGGTGACGGATGTTGCAGACAAAATTGCCCACCACCATCATCTCCAGTTTGAGATATAAAAGAACTTTTGTAAGAAGAAAAAAAGGCCATGTTTTCTTCCTAATAGCACAAAGTGACCAATCACTCCTCTTCTTCTCCAGCTTGGTGTTTTCCACAGGTTGGACAATAAACATCTACAGCACTTAGCAATAGCACTTAGACTTGTATACCGCTTCATGGTGCTCTCTCTAAGCGGTTTACAGTGTTGACATATTGCCCCCAACAATCTGGGTCTTCATTTTACCGACCTTGGAAGGATGGAAGGCTGAGTCAACCTTGAGCCTGGTGAGATTTGAACTGCCGAACTCCTGGCAGTTGGCAATCAGCAGAAGACCAGAAGTAGCCTGCAATACTGCATTCTAATCACTGCGCCACCACGGCTCTTATCAATGTTATCAAGATAATCAAAGCCTAAAACACCTTAGGAACTAGGCTGGAGAAACAGTTGGTCCTTTGGAACCTACTTTCCTTGATAATAACCTCAGTACAGAACTGCACATTAACCCAATTAACCATTGGCACTTAAACATTAATGGCTGACTTCATGGTTAACCTGAGATTCCAATATATCTTTGGCAGCTGGCCCAGTTATCTGGAGAACAAATCTACTAAAATATATGCTAACATCTCATCTTCTGGGTATTGTAAAAGGCACAGACATGGTCATACAAATAATTACTTCTCCTGATAAGCTACACCATCTGTCAAAATCTTTTCAAATAATTGTAGATTTTGAAGGAAAAGCAGCAACTTATATAAATATGTATACAGCACTGACAATGAAAGCTGGGCATATATTGCTAATTTAAGTTTTCCCCCTCCTGCAAAGCATACCAAGAGAAACTGTTCTATTAAACTCAGAAAAGCAAAGTAATGTGAAAGTAATATGAATAGATAAATCAGAAAAAAATAATAATATTATGGGGAAACCACTGAAAAAATCTACTTTTTTTCAGCACAACCAAATCTTTCAAGTTAAGTCCTTGGCACCCTGAATTTTCAGCAAGCCCACCCTCCCAAACAGAGCTTTTAGGAAGAGATATGTAAACTGTCTTTTCAAACATATCTAAAATCGCTCTGCAATTCCAGTTCAAATTAACTACAACTAAGACACTTGTTCTTCTATGATGAAAGAATAAACTGGGTGACACAAGGGTCCATAAAATCATAAACATCTAAAAATCTAATGCAGTGTTTCAGAAAAAGGCAAACTGTTGTACTTATTTACAGCATACGTGCTTACTACACATTAGGAAAACGTGAACAAGCCTGTATATGTGGGCAAATAGCATAAGTCTTACATTGGAGCATATTGGAGAAAACCTGTTTCAAAGAGCAGTGTACACATTTTAAAAATTGACGGTACTTTGACTACACCCTTTAAATTACATAGGTAGTCCTCAACTTGTAATTTACAACCACTCTTCACACTTACAACTGTTTTAGCAACGCCACAGTCACGTGATCAAAATTTGGGCACTTGGCAACTGGCATGTATTTATGACAGTTGCAGCATGGGGGTGGGCTGTGATCACCATTTGTAATCTTCCCAGACCGTTTCAGACAAGCGAAGCCAATGGGAAGCTTGGTTTACTTAATGGACATGGGATTCATTTAAGAACTGCAGTGGTTCACTTAATCCACCATAGCAAAACGGTCATAAAATTGTATGCGGCTCACTCAACAGTTATCTTGATTAGCAACAGAAATTCTGGTCTCAGTTGGGGGTGTACATCAAGGATGACCTGCACTTCTTTCTCAAACAAGGAAGTTGATCGTTCCGAGACTGATATTAAATATTAAATGCCACACTCCCGAATAACCAATAATTGTCTTAATCTGCTTGTTCTACCAGTCAGTCTGATAAAAGCTGGCAGCAGGGCCTTAAATTGAATGCATTTGAAGCTGTCACCAATGACAACTTAAATTATTATATTCCGCCCATCCAGAGATGCTGATAAGCAGAACAAGAGCAGGATGACATGGAGGAAAGATAATGTGGCTACATATTAGACTTCTTTCTGCTATCCCTAAGCAGGTGGTAGGAACACTATCCTGTCTCTGGAAAAAACAGGGAAATCCGCCTCAGAGGAAAGAGAGAAAGAACAACACAAATTCTAAAACTTATTTCTCTGTTGAAAATGGAAATAGGAAGGTGTGTCCTTTTGCTACCATATTCACTGTACCCTCGCTGGATATCAATATCCTAATTCACTGTAGTCCTTATATAAACAGTGAATTTGGATATTGATACCCAGTGCAATGAATAGGTTAGCAAAGGGCACACCTTCCTATTTCCGTTTTCAACAGAAAAATGAGGGCCATTTTAAATACTCCATTACTTTGAGGCAGGAAAAAATAAATTCCTGAAAATTTGTATACGTGAATTTTATAATGAAGTGGAAACTGGAGTAAGGTAGCTATTTTGCTGCAATGACACAGCACAACTAGCAGAAGAGCAGGCCATATTTTTTTTTTTACTTTGAAGCATGATGTTGCTTTCTAGAGTCTCATAAGAGTCAGTAAAAAAAAACTCCTTAGAATTTAGATGTAGTTGCATTCATTATTATGAGCCAGAAAAAAAGAATACTGTCTGCTTGAAAAATGGCAGGCCTTTTCTTATTTTATACATGGAATGGGGGGGACGGGACGACATCTTTTTCCTCTCCCCATCCCGCTCCTCACTCCACCATTGTTAGAAATATAATTAACATGCATCCAAAGATTTAAGGAATCTCACCTTTCCATCATAGCGTTTCACCACAAATTGATCAAGACCTAAATCTGGGAATAAAACCAAACAGATTTATTAGCATATTTGGAAAAATGGCATTTTGGCGGTTTCTTTAAAGAAAATGCATCACTTAAGCCTTAACCATCAAATCAAACATGAAAAATACAGGAAAGTAACTTTAATGTATAATAATTTTCTATCTAGTTTTACAGGTTTCTGTAATAAATCTTTGTCTTTAATCACTCTGCCTCCTCCTAACAATACCATCATCTTTTACCTGCAGCTAGGTATGCTTCTCCCCCCCACACCCGACTCTGATTCTCTATGTTACCTCCAGTGCACGCCTGTCATTTCCCAGCTACTATAATCATTAATCATGTAGCTGGAAACAGCCCCACTTGGATGGAATCAGAGTTTGGCCTGTAGAGAAAAAAAATTATGTCCTTCCTTTCATATGGTAAGGAAGGAAATAAGTAGTTGCCATTAAGAGAATACCAAACGCTTTGCTTAATGAACGTATGGAGCAGTGTTTTTCAAACTTGGCAGCTTTAAAATGAGTAGACTTCAACTCCCAGAATTCCCTAGCCAGCATATTGGGTTGGGAAAGTAGAACAGTGGTTCTCAACCTTGGCCGCTTGAAGATATGTGGACTTGGCCGCTTGAAGATATGTGGACTTCAACTCCCAAAATTCCACAGCCAGCATGGCTGACTGTAGAATTCTGAGAGTTGAAGTCCATACATCTTGAAGCAGCTAAAGTTGAGAAACACTGAAATAGAGGAAACACTTCTTTAATTTTTCTTCTTTAAGTAGAGGATACACTACTTAATTCCCCCCCCCACACACCCCATAGTTATCACAGAAAGAAGGTACCCTTCATGGGCGATGATCTGGAACAACAGTGTCAAACTCGATTTTATTGAGGGCCACATCAGGGTTGTGTTTGACCTGGGGGGCGAGCGTGGCCAGCTTGACATCACTCATGTTGGGGGCGCCGGTGGTGGTCCGAGCGCTCTGCCAACAAAAATGGAGCTCTGTTTTCGCTGGCAAAGGTGCCATGGGCTGGTCCTTTGCTGTTCCCAGGCAGCCCCGCAGGCCAGACCTAAGCAGCCCATGGGCCAGATTCAGCCTGCGGGCCTTGAGTTTGACACCCCTGATCTAGAAGCTCTCCAAGGGTCTTCCAACATTATGATTTTACACATAGGTTTAATATTAAGTTGATTTAAAAAAATCAATAATACTGATAACAGGATTTAATTCATGAAACACTTCATTGCAGTCATTAGCCAGCACAAAATAGGAACCAGTAATCCAAAATATGCAAATTGATCTGCTTTGTGTTGAATAATCATTGAGTGATCACTTTGACATCTGCGTGCCACGTTTCTGTAGATTAAAAGTCACAATAAATTCATACAACTGTTGCCATTATTCATTCATGTTTACTGGTCACTTTCCTTTCAGGAAGAAACTAATTTTGGGAGGGGGAAATGGATGCTCAAAATGCAATATTGGATGATATAGTACAGTGGTGGCTAACCTTTTTGTCGTTGCGTACCAAAAGTGCCTGCGTGCCTGCACCCACAATGCAATGCACAAGTGACCCCCCCCCGCGCTCCCCCATCCCCCTGCTCATGCCCGTGCGATCCCCCTGCACTCCCCTGGCCCCTGTGCATGCGTGCGCAACCCCCACACTCTCCCTGCCCCCCTGTGCATGCGCATGCAACCCCCCGCACTCCCCTTCCTCTGTGCATGTACGCATGCCTCCCACGCTCCCCCTGCCCCCCTGCGCATGCGTCTCCTGCATGCACCCCACCCCCTGCGCATGCATGGCAGATACCCGAAAATCAGCTGGCTGGCAGGAGGCGCACACGCATGTGCAGTGGAACTGAGCTCACATGCTGGCAGAGATGGCTCTGCGTGCCCCTTCCACCACGCATGCCATAGGTTCGCCATCACGGGTATAGTATGATACTGTGCTGCACTGAACCATAGTTTAGTTGATGACCTTCAATGAAGACCTTTGTCCTCCATTGGACTGATTCATATTGATGTATATCTCTATCTTATAGGTGTCTCCCACAAGACCATTTGCAGATAATGTGAATGGTAGACCAACAAATATGGCAGATACTAAGCTAGAGAAAACTATCATAAAGCTTCATGCTCACAGTGTCATGCACCTTAATAAAAAACTTTAGTGCCAATTATCCACACTATTTTTACAACACATTGGCTAGTTCTTAACTGCAATAAAAACGTTTATAAGGCTGTTTTAGTCCATTACTAAAGATTATCTCAGCAATAGTTTAAAACCATGTGCTGCAGAACATTAAAAATGAGATGGGAGAAACTGAGAAATGATCTCTGGCATCAAATTGCACAACTACAGGAAATCAATCTCAGTAGCTTTTACAAAAAGGGAAATAACCAAGTTTACTGCTGTGCCTCCCAGCCTTCTATTTTCCATCACAGTATCCAAGACGACTTACTTTCTGGTTGCTTTTCATTTGGTGTTATAGATCGCACAAAATCTTGTGGGGTCATAAATACTTCTGAATCTCCATGCTCATTGATGATTTTCAATGTGGCAAAGTATCGAAAGATTTTATCAGGAGTAGAGTAAGCACGAATCCTGTTTTCATATTCCATCACCTAAAAATAAATAAATACTGGATGTGAACATTCTCTAAATTCCAATAACTTAAGCCACTTTTTTTAAAGGTTAAATGATGTTTTGACAGAAATATATAATTCTATCTAAAGGCCCAAGCTGAGTTGTCAAGGTCTATTTATCTATCCGTATGATCAATCTACCCACCAGGCAGATTGCAAGAGACATAAAAATCAAATTAGGTTTCATTCCTGAAGTAGTGGAACGTTCTGAAAAAATAAAAACAAATTAAGCATAAAAACAACAGAGCAGCCAACAAACCAGCACCATAATGAAGAAATAATTGGGAGAATTCAGTTAAAATTGGCATTGAAATAAAAGTGACAATCAGTCCTACTTTTGAGTAAAGCTTTCCCAGTAAGAAAATACCATCACAGTTTAATTCCCCTGTGTCGTTCCAATCAATCAATCAATCAATCAATCAATCAAAATCTATTCATGGTCCAAGACCAAGCACAATAAAAAAACCAGCATATGATACAATAATAAAAGGGGGAAATGCAAGAAAATCCTAAAGCAAATGGTTATTAGCATGCAAGAGCAACCAGACATCTATAGTTATTGATGAATATTTGCAATCTTCAAGTTGCCGCATGTCAGGTGCAAGAAACCAGGAGGCAGGGTAGAGTTCAAAAGGAGTATGAGTTTATTTCAGGCTAAGAATCTGATCTAGTAACAGTCAAAGCAAATTGGTACTAGATAAGAGTCAATGGAACTCACTGGGGGTTGGACGTAGGTCTCTAGTGGAAGCGTAGCAACTCCAAAGTGATGGTACATATCATGCCCCCGTTGGAGTCTGAATCTGAGGGGGAAGACGAACAGCTGACAGAGAGCGGGAGAGTGGCTCCATTGGCTGTGGAGGAAACTTGGGAAGGGCAAAGTCAGGCTGGGCAGAGCAGGGAAGAGGTAGAACAAGGGAAAGGGGGTTCAGATGAAGACCAAAGCCCTTGCCCTCTTCATCCTAGGGTGTGCAGGGAAGAACACAGAACAGAGCAATGTGGGTTGCATGGCTTACGAGGAAGGAAAGGGCCCCAATTCCCTCCACAAGGCACACCTGGGGATGGAGTTTAAAGGAGAGGCAGTTGGGAGGGGAATTTGTCGGGAGCAAACACTGAATTCATCTAATGTTGACAGTTTTACCCTACATTCCTGGCATTCCTCCTGACTGAATTATTGCTGTGCTTCTGTGCACGTATCTTGCCTTGTTGGAATTATTGGACTCATTATCTTGCCCTGCTGGAGTGATTGATTGCAGTCATTCTGCTTACAGCATTTGGACTGGAGTATCTGCAACCAGAAGCTATTGCAGGTTCGTGGGAGAGCTTTTCTCCAGGCTGGAGAGTAAACGGGACGTTGCGGGCAAAGTTGGAGCAAATAAAGGGATGCATACCTGTTCTCTGGCTGTGTTGCCTTTATGCCACACCCCGGGTCATCACAATCCATTTGACTCTGCCCTCAAGCTCAGCATGGTCATTTCCTGCACAGCATGAGCCTTGGGGTGGCTGATGCCAGGTGGGGAAAGGTGCATGAGGGTGCATAGGTGACCAGAAAGATGTAGCAATGAGTGCAACTAGGCTTGACAAGGTGCACAATGGTAGGATGAACACGGTGTGTGAGTAAAGTGGGGCTTGGGGAGGATGCACGAGAGTCGGTGGGTTGCTTGTGAGGCACGCCACGAGTGCAGAGAAGCTATGGGAAGTTGCGTGGTTGGAGAGACTTATCCAAGCAACTTGTGATCTTCTGTGCCAGCATCATGACTTTGCTTTTGGTAAGCTAATTGGTCATTCCAGGCCTGTTTGTTCCCCACAGGAGACATACGGCTGAGATAGAATAATTTGATTTGGAAATGATTGGACAAAATAACTCCTTAATAATAACAACATTGGTTGATGACTACTGTCTCTATGACCTTGGGGAAAGAAGGGAAGAGATACTGCCTAGGAAGCAATCAGAGAACCAGAGGCAGGACACCCCAGGGGCTTAACAGTCAGAGGAAGAAACATAGGAAGGACCCGGCCTATTGAATCAAGCAGTTAAAAGTGTGTGTTTTTTTCACAGTCTTGCAAGATTGATGTCAGCCCTCCCAGGAAAACCAAGAAACAGAATTAGATGAACAAATTCTACTTTCGGGTAAGGCTTACATTGACACAATCTTGCAAGTCACCCACACATATTTAGAGAGAATCATTTCAATGAGAACAAATGAATAAAAGGTCACTTGTAGACCTCCAGAATTCTCTTTTCTGCCAGGACTCTCAACTGGCTGATGAAAAATAAAATCAACATATTCCCTCATGTGCTTCCTTCACCCCCAAGCCCAAAGCCTAATTCCTTTCTAAGAAGGGGAAGGATTGAATTTTGAGACTGATACAAAGGTAATTAGGAGTTCCTGTTTACTCTGAAAGAATTTAAATTCTCAGATCCTATATCTTATGGTACTAAAAAAACTGCATGATGGCCTGAGCATTTGCATATTACTTTTACAAAATCTGGAATAACTACTGAAGTACCAAATGATTGGAGGAGAAACAAAGTTCTCCCAATTTTCAAAAAGGACAAAAACAGGGACTAGTCGGTTCAATCCTGATACTTGGGAAGTTTCTGGAATGTACTGTAAAGACAATGATGTTTAAAGTGCACAGTCAGAGAGAGGACAGGGAATCCTGGTTTGATAATAGCACTTATCAAAAACCATGTGCATAGTAAGCAGTTGATTGCAGCCTGAACATGACACAGCAAATGTGATATGACTACAAAAAAGGTAAAGGCAATTTTAGGTTGCATTAAAAGAAATGTAATTTCCAGATCATAGGAAACCATAATACTGCTCAGATAAGTGCTATGTTTAATTTCGAGCACCATGCTTTAACAATTCAGACAAACTGGAAAAATGTTCAGAGAACGGCAACAAGAATGCTAAGGGAACTAGAATTAAGTCCTATAAAGAGAAATACAAGGACATATTTGGCTCTGAGATGGCTTTCATATTCCATCTTAATTTTCAAACACCTAAAAAGATAGCGCATGAAGAAAGTAAAGATTTTTATGATTCCAAAATGTAGAATAGTTAATCTAAATTAAAGACTTCAACTTTAATATTAGGGGAAGAAATCTCTAATAATATGACAAATTCCACAGTGGAATGAATTATCAAAATAGATGGTGGGCTTTCTTCTCATTAAATGCACCTAGTTAGAGACTGGACAGCCAGTTATGCAAAAATTATCTAATTTCCTGCACTGAGCAAGGGTTTAGACTTCATGGCCTAAATGTCACCTATCAAAACTAAGATTCCACAATTCCCTCATCCAAACTCAGAAGAAAAAAAATCCAAAATCCAAAATCCATCCAAATGTATGAATATGATTTGCATCCTGGTTTAAACAGTTCTTTTCTATCCTTGTAATCGTCAAAAATATTTGAGGGATTATTAGAGGTAATGCACCAGGCTAGAAAGCAAGAGACCGTGAGTTCAAGCCCCACCATACCCATGAAAGTCAGCTGGGTGATGACTTTAGGTCAGTCACTCTCTCTTAGGCCAACCTACCTCACAGGGTTGTTGATGTTGTGGGAAAAATAGGAGGAGGAAGGAGTGTTGGCTGTGTTTGTCACCTTGGGTTATTTGTAAAAATACTAAAGGCACGATATAAAAAATAAAAATAAATGACCTGTCCAAAGGTTGCTCTTGACCACTAATTCAAATAAATGCAGTTTAATAAAGACATACCTTACGGTCTCGAAATCCAGAACGCTGTTTTTTCTTCGTTCCTTCTGCCTGAGAAACATTATCGCTTCCTTCATTCGCGACTTCTCTGTTTTTCATCTTCTCATCCGTCACGTTCACGTCATGATTCACAGAAGGCGATGCTTCTGCCTGGGCTCTAAGATTAAAAACAGGGAGGAAAGTCCTTCTAATTATTTAAAATGCCAACAAGAAAACACTTCAGAGAAATGAATGACCTCAATCCTTGACTGTGCAAACTATTCAAAACAGGTGATTTCCAAAGCACGTCATCCCAGAGAAAACACTTTTCCCCACCAAAATGTTAAAATAATACCATGGTTACAAGGCTCACACTGCTATTCCTAGCTGTCTCTACCTGCATATGTTTTCCTCTGCTGGTGCCAAGCACAAGGTCAGCTTTCAAAGGATGCAGCTGTTTTAATACTTTGAAGACAGATGTTTCATCCACATACGGAGATTCCTGCAAAGAGCCTGTTTCAAGGGCTTCGCTTGGGTTTATTATCTACAGCCAAACTTTTATGCATTTCCAGAAGCTTGCACAGCTGCTCTGTAACCTACCCTCAGTTGCTTATTAAGCATTTATAAGTAGTTGAATTGATGAAGCAGTTAAATGAGTCTGGAAAAACATGCATCTGCTTTAATTATTCCAAGAAACGTGTTTTGTCTAAGTTCCTGTGAGTTGTGAAGGATTTCTTTCCAAATATTTGCGTAGTAATAATACAAATTTTGGTTTGAGTTATATGAAAATTCCTCGGTTCTTAGGTCATGCACAAGTTGGGCTTAATTCAAGCAAGGAATTATATAATGAAGGAAGTACTGAATGGAAGAAGTCAAGCATGGAAACTGTGTGTTGCCTTAGCATCTGGACATTCATGAGCAATAAGCAACATCCAAAGGTAACTGCTGAAAGGGGCATTGGTACTTACCTGACACGCCCTTTCTCTGTGAGCTGTGAAGAGCATCCATTGTTTGGGGTGATGCTTCTGTCGCTCGTTTGATAGGCTGGGCTTTAATTGAGAGGACGCTCCTCCTCCTCCATGGGACTCCTCCCTAGCATCCCCAGTTTTGGCGAAGTCGAAGTGATGAAATATTTCTTCTCCTTCACTCTTTCTAATACTTGGCCGGAATAGCATCCCACCAGACGAATAAGGGTGGGGATGCATGCTCTTCACAGCTCACAGAGAAAGGGCGTGTCAGGTAAGTACCAACGCCCCTTCTCCAGATGAGCTGTTCAGAGCATCCATTGTTTGGGACATATCAAAGCTTGGCGTATCCTACGGGAGGGCTTCCGTCTGGTTCGGATTCCCCTTTTCTTGGTCCCTATGGACGCTTTGTAACACTTTCCTGTCAAAGGCAGCCTCTGTAGAGGTGAAGACATCATTCTAATAGTTTCTAAATAAAAGGCGATGGTGAGGCCCATGTTGTCGCCTTGTAAATTTTCGCTATTGGCACTTGTGGCCCATGTTGTCAACATCACAGCGCTCCAGGTCGAATAAGCAGTGATGCCCCTGGGTACAGGAAGAGATTGTGTCTCATAGGACTTGGGAATTGTGCTCTCAGCCACTTACTGGTCATTGAGGAAGGGGTCTTGCACCCAATGGTGGGTGGTTCAAAAGAAACGAAGAGAACCTTTGTTTCCTAACACACATCGTGCAGTTGAAATATATGCAGAAAGCTCGCCTTACATCTAGATTGTGGCATTGTCGTGCCAGATTTTATATCGGTTTCAGACAAATGTACGGAAGTATCAGTTCCTATGGTCTGTGGAAACTCAAAATTATCTATGGGTGAAAGATGGATCTGGACCACTTTGTCTGTGTGAAAAATACAGAGCTCCTATCTAACTGACAAGACTACTAGATCCAAGATGTAACTGGCCGATGTAATGGCAACCAAGAGAACCACCTTGTACGTTAGGAATGGAGACGCATGGTCTACATGGGCTCAAAGGGAGTTTTCTTGAGTGCGTAAGGACCTTGTTGAGGTCCCATGTGTGATATCAATGTACTACAGGAGACTGTAAGATTGTAGCCCCGTGCAAGAAAATGGCATATGCGTGGGTGATGAGAGATGGACTGCAAGTCTCTCCTAGTGATGACCGATGCTAAGGCCTCCCCTTTGCCTGTTCATATGAACAAGATAATAATGAAATGTCATATAAATAACACTGCCGTCTAACAAGTGTTCTCCTGAGATGAACAGCCAGAGCCATCAGAACCTTCATAAGAACCTTGGGCAGATGACAACCCAAAGGACAGTGCAATGTATTCAAAACGTTGAGTATTATAACAAAAACTAAGAGTTTTGCTATGTGAGGATCTAATTGGAATGTGGGGATGGGCCTCCATTAAGTCAATGGAGGGTAGAAAATCGCCCCTTCTGAAGCTCAGAAGTATGGAGTTCAGTATGCTCATCTTAAGCCTCCTATGAACTATGGATCAATTAAGTCATTTTAAAACTAAAATTGCCCCTGCTGATCTAATGCCACAGGTTGGTTGCCTGGATCTCCAATAAATGAACAATAGCTGTCTCTATCATGCTCCCTTTAACAGGATCCCCAGAGAGAAGGCAAGTAATGCAAAGGTTCCGGGGAGAGGATGGAAATTCTCTAGCCAGGCCTAATCTTCTGATACCTCTAACCCAGGAAACAGAGGTAGAGGCATCCCATCTTCCGTGATGGGCTTGAGCCTTCCACCAATAGGGGCACAGTCGTGAGGCCTATGTTGTGCCTCAGAGACCTCTATTTCATGTTCCTCAAGAGATTCTTTTGCTCTGCCCTCCCCTTCAGTATCTATCTCCAGATCGCAAACTGTCTGACTGTTGGCGATTCATGCATCCAGACGATCCCTGCAATCTGGAGGGAAAAAGTCCCTGGTAGAAGGAACAAAGGAACCCTCCAAAAAGCTGGGAAGGACTATTTTGGGGTCTATGAAAAGAGAGGAACTTATTTTCTGCTTCTAGTCTCTATCAGAGATAGGTCGGGGCACGACGAACCAAATTATCTCCCTATATTGGTGGGATGCTATTCCGGCCAAGTATTAGAAGGGTGAAGGAGAAGAAATATTTCATCACTTTGACTTCGCCAAAACTGGGGGTGCTAGGGAGGAGTCCCGTGGAGGAGGAGGAGCGTCCTCTCAATTAAAGCCCAGCCTATCAAACGAGCGACAGAAGCATCATCCCAAACAATGGATGCTGTGAACAGCTCATCTGGAGAATAGGTCACTGATTATTTAGCAAAATGCAACAGAGAAGTTTGCTGAAAAAATAGCAGCATACACTATAAGACAGCAATAAGTGAATATATTTTGAATAGTTCACTCTAAATGTTTAGTTGCAAGTATAAATCTTAAAATACCTTGGCAGGATTGTTAAAGAAATCCACTCTAGTGTAGGTTAACTTTTATTCTGATTACTATTTTATTAATTATTTTGATTATTATTAATTGATCTAATTGAAGTTTGACTAAATCTAGGCAATGACAACCACTTGGCAAAATGCAACAGATGTTTTTTCTGTTTTGCAATTCGCATATGCAAATAATATTTTGAAAAGCCCATCCTGTTTAAAGACTGATGTTGGAAGTCAATGAAGAGAATGAGGTCCTTGATTATAGAGGATATAAATATAGGGAGAATAACCAAGGGAATATAATTTTCTACTTACGAACAATAGAGAAAACAAAAGCAAGAACAGTGAGAGGTACCACTTCAGGGGTGGGTTTCTACCGGTTCTGTCCACCTCTGTAGAACCGGTAGCTCTGAAGAGCAGGAAACATAGGACCAGTTCTATGTCTGCTGATGTTTTTGCCCGCCCACCCACCTGAGCTCTTACCTGATCTTTATTTCCTGATTTTTCAACTTCAGCTGCTGAACGAGGCACAGCTGCAGTTAGAAAAGCAAGAAAAGAGGGCTGTTTCAAAGGCTGCTTCTCTGCAGGCAGCTGCTGATGACGATTTACAGGCGCGTGGCATGCAGCCTGCAGGGAAGCTAGTAAATCCTGAACCGGTAGTTAACCCTGTCATATCCCACCCCATACCACTTCAAATCCAGAGCACAGAATAAGCTAATTAAGGAAAAATGATAAATCCACAAATTCCTGTGGATGATGATGTTCAGACTCAGAAATATTGGGGGCAACCCTTCACCCTAGTGACAAAAACAGGTGACCAGAGAAGCAAACAAAAGGAAAACAATTTTGCCCTAAATTTAGTAAGCACCCAGGATGTGGCAGAGAATCAAATTTACTGAGCCAACTGAAAATTACAAGGCTATCAAACTGTTTTTTCCTCAAAATTAGGCATTTATCAGCACATTGACTTAAGAAAAATCTTAAAAGAATAAAATCACAGATAAAAAAGAAATAGAAAGTCAAGGAGGCATGTTTCAGAACTTTTCACCTCCGTCGTGAAATCAACTTTGATTTCTTTAAAGAGATTTATAAAATGATCAGATTAGGTGAGTTCCTATTTCACTGGAAAAATTGTCAACAGCGACATCTATAAACCCATACTGAATTACTACAGGTAGTCCTTGACTTACAACTATTTGTTTAGTGGCTGTTCAAAGTTACAATGGCACTGAAAAAAGAGACAACCAGTCCTTGCATTTGCAACCACTGCAGCATTCCCATAGTCACATGATCAAAATTTAACCAGTTGGTAACTGGCGTGTATTTTTAATGGGTGAAAGCATCCCAGGAGCCATGTGATTCCCCATTTGCAACCTATCCATCCAGAAACAAAGTCAACAGAGGAAGCTAGGTTAGCTTACCAACTGTATCACTCACTTAATGACTGCTGTGATTTTCTTAACAACCGTGGCAAAAGAAGTCACAAATTTGGCTGTGATTCATTTAACAACTTCTGGCTCAGCATACAGTAACTCTGGTCCCAACTGGGGTTGTAATTTGAGAGCCGTGGTAGCACAGTATTGCAGGCTATACTGTGCTACGTGGTAGCACAGTATTGCAGACTGCAGTATTGCAGGCTAATTCTGCTGACTGCCAACAGTTCGATCCTGACCGGCTCTAGGTTGACTTCGCCTTCCATCCTTCCGAGGTTGGTAAAATGAAGACCCAGATTGTTTGGGGCAATAGGCTGACTCTGTAAACTGCTTAGAAAGGGTTATAAAGGCACT